GCTCGCGGATTTTCAGGCCTGCCAGTGGGGGTGGTGTGGACTTGGGGTATGTGCGCGACGTTACGCGCCATTTGACGGTGGCGCGCGAGATCGACGAGACTCGCGAGGATTGGGGATACCAGACGGCCAATGCTGCCGGCGTGGAACGATACCTGCGGTTGTTTGCAAGCGCCCAATCGTTTGAGTTGCGGGTGTTGTGGATGCTGCTTGCCATGGAATGCATGCAGCTTGCGAGGGTGAGTTTTCACCGGTTTGATGAGTTCAAGGGCGCCATACGCGAGTTGCATGAACGGGAGCGCCTGGAGCGCTGGACTGTTGACGTGCGGCGGATCGAGCTTTGCAATGATGAAACATTGCTGGAGTACCTTGTAGCGTTTGTGTGGACGCTGGTCGGACAAGGCAGCGGGCGGCATGGGCAGTTGCCGCTGACAGCAGGGCGGTTGGCCAACTCACTATCTAATTTCGCCGGGATGCGGCGACAGAAGCATGGGCGTTTGGACGCACGGTCTGTCGCAAGGATCGCCGCCCGCGTAAATATGCGGCGCCAGCCTGAGGTAAGTGTTGTTTAACATAACTTTCTGATTGCCAAGTTGTAGTTGGCCCGACTCGCACAGCGAACTGCCGACCCGTCGCTGTCCATCGCGATTCCACGATCGCGCTCGCGTGGGCGATCAGCGGTGCCAGGGCGCTCACCCCCTCGGGGCCAAGCGGCGATGTCGGCGGTGGCGCAAATGCAAGGGGCGCGGGTGACGCCAGGCGGGTTTTCGGTGCTCCCTGCGAGCCCTGGTCGAGCGTATGGGCTTCACCGACGCGAGTTCTTCGACGTGGGCGCGCGAAGATGCGCAGGTGGCAGCGCGATTGTCGGCGGCGCGGCCGACGAATCCCATCTCGGGGTACAATCCGCCGTCGGGACCTCAACAGGATGGTCAATTAATTGACAGCGGCGGAGCGGCAAGCAGCCGCAGATTATCGGGCGGGGGCGCGGGCGATTGCGGCGCCACAACAAGTGGTGGTGCCGATGTCGAGGGCGGCGACGGCTGGGGAGTCGGAGGAGGAGGAGAAGTCGGAGGTGGCAGAAGAGGAAGAACCGCCGCGGGATCGGAAGGATCGGTTGCAGTCACTTCATCGGTCGTAGGTGCAGATAATAACGGTAAATAACGTTTGAGTTTACCCACATAGAATGTTGGATGGATCTGCCATGAGGTGGGCAGGTCAAGCTTGTAGTTGGTGGGACTGACCACGCGAAGAACGGTAAAGGGGCCGTGCCAAGCACTGCGTAGCTTGACGTTGGAAGACATTCCAACCGCACGTGCGCGGAATGCATGGGCGGGCACCGCCGACTTGTGGAGGAGAACTTCTTCGCCCACGGCGAAAGATGCGAGGTTTGTTGGCTTGGGTTGATTGGCGCTGCTGAGCTGCAGCGATGCTGTCATGGATCTGTTGCATAACAGAGACGCGACGGGAGAGGAAACTCTGAATGGTTACGAGAGTGCGGCTGGGGGCGTTGGAAAGTACGCAGAACGGGGCCGCGAAGTGACTCCAACCCCAGTGGAGATGGAACCCTCGAGCATAGGAGGGAGGCGGGGGTGTTGGAGATAGACCGCATAATGCGGCGAAAACCCAGTGGACGCCTGAACCGAGGCGTTGTAAGCGAAGACCGCGTGCTGTAGCGTGACAGCCCACGAGGAACCGGTAGAAACGGAGTAGCTCCGGAGGATATCTTCGAGGACGCGGTTGGCGCGTTCCGTTTGGCCGTCGGACTCGGGTGATCCGAAGTCGACATGTCGAGCGAGGTGTCGTATAGGGCGAATAGGGTGGACCAAAACTTCGCCGTGAACCGCGGGTCGCGGTCCGAAACGATGGAGCGAGGCAGGCCGAAACGACAGAAAACGTGGTCGAAACCGAGGCGAGCGGCATCCGCGCCGCTCAGCGTGTCCGGAACGGGGACGGCAATAACGTACTTCGACGCTCGGTCGACACAAACCATAATGCCGGTGTTGCCGCGGGCGTCGCGGGGCAGGCCAAACATGAAATCCATGCTGACGGACGACCAACGTTCGTCGGCAATAGGCAGAGGTTGGAGCGGAGCCCGAGAGGAGGCGGTGATTTTAGTGCGCTGGCAAGCGTCGCAATGAGCGACGTAGCGCACAACGGATTTATACATGCGGGGCCACCAGTATGAACACGCCAGGACCGCGTGCATTTTGTCGCGGCATAAATGGCCGCCGCTGGGGGAGTCATGGTAGGATCGAAGGAGAGTGAGGCGCAGTTGCGCGTCACCGGGCACAACAATACACGGCGGTGAGTCCGCGGTCGGTTGAAACATCAAAAGCCCATCGGCGAGGGCGAAGCGGTGTAAGGCCGACGAAGCACGGCGGGGTTTGGGGAAACGGGGTCGGTGAGCGCCGCCAGGCGCGACGAGCAGTCAGCGTCAAAGGGGTACGCTGCACGAATTCGATCGTGAAGACCCGACGTTAAAAGACCGATCGTGGTCAGTTCGAGATCAGGACGCCGAGAGAGGGCGTCGGCCAGGATGTTCTCCTTCCCGGGCTTGTACTGTACCGAAAATATGAATTCGGAGAAGAACGAATCGAGCGCGCCATGCGCTGTGAAAGATGGGGCGTGTTCGTCGCTGTGCGTAAGGACGCATGATCGGTGTAGATCACGAAGGGTTTAACGCCGAGGAGGTAGATGCGGAACTTGGTCAGGGCGTACTTCATGGAGAGAAGTTCCAAATCGTGGACTGGGTACGCCCGCTCAGCCGCGTGAAGTTGGCGGCTTTGGTAGGAGACCTGGCGAGGGTGGCCGGAGGCGTCGAGCTGCATTAGGCAGCAGCCAATCGCGAATTGCGAAGCGTCGCAAACGACGGAGAAAGGTTTGTCAAAGTCGAGGAGCGCCAAGATCGGGGCGCGTTGAAGGTTGGTTTTGAGGCCGTCGAAAGCCTCCTGACAAGCGGAGTCCCAAATCCAAGGGGCGTCCTTGAGGAGAAGCCGAAACAACGGCTGGGCGATGTCCGCAAAGTTTTGCGAGTATTTGTGCAGATACGTCGCAAGGCCCAGCCAGCGACGAAGATCCTTGACGGAGGAGAGGATAGGCCACTCCGAAATGGCCTTGATCTTTTCGGGACCAGCCCGACATCCGTTCACCCCCACTAAATCTCCCAGGACCGGGATTTCGTCAACGCCAAACATACATTTGGCGAGGTTGGCATAGAGTCCGTTGGCACGGAGGACTTCAAGCACCTTGCGGAGGTGGCTGCGGTGAATGTCAAGATCAGATTGCATGGAGGATGTGGCAAACCTGTGGAGGGCGTGGATTACGAAGGCAACGACATCAAGTTCACCCAACGCTCTAACAGCGACGACTGCTGCGACGACTGTACCAAGACCCCTGGCTGTGTTGCGTACGTATGGACCGCTTGGAACGACGGCACATGGCAACTGTGAACATAAATGTCGTCGAAGTACGACGGTGCGAAGTCGCGAAACGCGCGGAACTTTGCGGTAACCATACGATTGAACGTCGCCGGGGCGTTGGGCAGACCCTGTGGCATGACCAGCCACTCCCATAACATGCCACTTGGCGTAGAAACCGCCGTTTTTGGGACGTCGCATAGACGCATCAAGATCTGGTAAAAGCCATCGCGAAGGTCGATGGTGGAGAAAATGGTGGATCGACCCATGCTGTCGATAATAACGTCCTTGCGAGGAATCGGCGTCTGAGCCGGAATCGTGGCTGCGTTCAATTTGTTAAAGGCGTCTACAATACGCCATTTCCCACCGGGCGTCTTCAAACAGAAGGTCGGGCAGCTGTGAGGGGAAATGCTCTCGCGGACGTGACCCGCCGCCTTGCGGGCCGCAAAGAATGCGTCGATGACATCGGCTTGGTCGCGAGGGAGCGGCCATTGCCGCGTTACACAATACTTTGCGCCGGGCACGAGGTCAATTTCGTCTTGAACGCCCTTGTCGACTGGGAGGCGACACGGTACGTCGTCGGGGAAGACGTCCTCAAATGCTTGGAGGAGGTTGAAATAGGGGTTGGGTCGCAGGGAGTCCCACGTCTGGGACTTCAAAGGAGCCGCGAGGACCGAGTCATCTGCGGTCGAGGTCGAAAAGAGATCCGTCTCTTCTTTCGACTGTGATCATCGCCAAGGCGGCGATATCGTGGGCGCGGAGAGATTCCACGAGCGAGTGGAAGCTCATCTCTGGCAGTGCCAGGATCTCGGAAGACGTCCGAGGGAGTGCGCGCAAGTTACACGTTTCTTCGATAAACGTGATTGCCAAGGTCGAGGCAACTATCAGGGGCGGTAACGGAGCCTCACCAATAACAACAGAGGGCGCCTCTGTTGGGGACATGAAAGGGGTATTGTGCAAAACCGTGGTTGGGTCCGTTGGGGCCGCGGGCGCTGGTGCCAATGAGCGCACTGCGGGGCTAGGAGAGGCGAGATCATTACTCATCGCCTCTAGCGGAGGGCCAAGCGGGTTGGTGGTAGACGGGGGAAGGCGATCGGCAGCCCGCCGATGAATCCAGGGTTGTCTCGCGTTGAGCCAAGAAACCTTGTACACGAATTTGGCCTTCCAGTCAATCCATGGCTGGTGGGACTCCAGCCAGGATATCCCGATGATGAGATCCCATCTCTCATCGAGGTCGATAACATAGAACGGTTCGACTGAGTCGAAACCGTCGAAGGTGATGGGAACATCGACGATTATGCGTGGTTGAGACTCAGTGTGGCCGTTGGCCATCTTGACGCGAACCCTGTCGGAGGGATCCGAAGAGGTTGAAGCGAGAGAGAGTGGCGCGTCTGGCGTAGTTGTTCGACGCCCCACAATCGATTAAAGCAGAGAGCCTGGCCGGGAAGCCAGGCACGACAAGTTCCAAACAAATCATTTTCTTGGTTGGAGCCCAACACGACACAGAAGATCCATGTCTGAGGCTAGGTCCTTAGAGTGTGTCAGCACGCCACACACCTCCAAAGGACCTAGGGTGTCCCCAGTAGGTCACCTCGCGCCGTTTCCCGCCGCACTCGAGCTCGGAGCGGGGTGGAATGGTGGACGTGAGCCACCATGGCGTTCAGGATTGATGCGGTTCGGTGGTGGACCGCTCGGAGGGCGTCGCGAAGGGGTATCGGGCGCAGTACGGGAGGAAACGTGTAAGGGCGGGGCGGCTGACGCCACACGGCGAGGGGCCTGGCATGCGCGGGAGAAGTGTCCCGGGCGACCGCAATTGAAACACGTGCGGTCGTCCGATGCCTGGGCGAGCATGGAGACATCCATGTCGGAGGACGCCGCGTGTGCGTGCGCGAAGGAGGAGAAAAACGATTCCGAAAGCGCGATTCGGACGGCTTCTTCAAAGGTGTCCGGGTAGGCACGAAACAGCTATGTGCGCGCCGGGCCTTGGTTGAGACCGTCCATGAAAACGGTCACCCGCAGGGGCTCCGGGAGTGACTCTTCATCGTTAATGTTCGCAGCCAAGAAGCGAAGATCATGGATGAACTCTTGAAGGGAGCGTTACCCTATCTTGCAAGCCAGATATTTCGATCGATAACGAAAGTCGCTGTTGGGTGGCAGGAACATTGCCTTGAGTTCGGTCTCAAAGACCACGAAAGATTGGAAGCAGTGGCGGTCCGTCAAGCGTTTGGAGAACGCCCAATCTTCCGCACAACCCTTCAAATGCGACATCGCGAAAGCTACGTGGGTGGCGTCGTCGGAGATACGCTGAGCATCAGCAGCAGTGCTGACTTGTAAAAGCCAGCGGAGGAGTTTGTCCGACTCCGCTTCGCCGAATTTGGCAACATCCAGCTTGATCGACTGCAGGCGAGAAGTCGATGGCGTTTCTGATTCCGAAGCGTGCGTGAGGCGCGTGATCTCATCGTGAGCGATTCGCAGAGAATCTTGGAGGGTGCAACCATGGGACGACATGGTGGAGGCTTGGCCATCTAAGGTCGCGATTTTCTCGCGAGCGACGCGAAGAGAATCTTCAAAGTTTCGCCCGTGCGAAGACATTTGGGCGACTTGTTCTTCCAAAGCCTCCTGGGCGGCCATAGCTTCGGCAACCGAGAGATCAATCGTGCTACCAATGCCTTCCAAAAGGCGAGTTTGGTTATCGGGAGTCATCCCGCCAATGAGTAGCGCGGTGTCCGGGACGCAAAAGGGCGAAGACCGCCAGGTGGTTTCGGGGTGTGGTGGAGGACATTTTATTGGTCGACTTGACGAACGTGGAGTGCTACCAGGTGTGTACGTGCGCAGAGGAAGACGCAGGAGATGGTAGAATCAAGAATGAATTGATAGCGTTAACACTACTACGCTATCACTAAGCTACGCGCAACCAACCATTGATGTATCGACGGGGGAACACCTTGGTTGCGCAAGAGGACTTGTTGGTGTGCGAAGAGACACCTTGGACTGAAGAGGTGTCGAGTAGTCATCCGGTTAGTAACCGGATTATGGGCATGGTTATACATTTCATCTCTACATCGCACCACAGAGGAAGTTGAAGTGGTTGTGACTGTGGATATGTTGGCTGATCTCATGGCTTGCTCTGCTGTGGATGATATGATTGACCAAGCGGACGACATTGCCAATGATTCTGAATTTGAAATTTCTTTATAATTGTAATGGAATTTGTATTTGATTTTATATTTATGCTTAACTGTTGAAGTGTTTTATACCATGCAAAAACTCTACTCGCTTTGAACAATAGCCAAGCAAAGCTGTTCATTCTAAAATTGTACTACTAGTATGTCTTGAGAGATTTACAATTGGTGTTATCCAAACGTCGTATGGTTGTGAAATATCACCTGTCTTGAGAGATATCTACTGCACGGTAGCTTCTTCAATGACTACGTCATTCTTGCCTGTCTGTCTCACCAACAGATGGAGTTTCATCCCGGTCGCCCGCTGTACACCCCTACACCCCCGGATACACGACCAAAATATGGCCTCCGTTTTTCCGTGATTCTGTCCGATTTTCACGGTTAGTCAATACAGTCAAATACTGTACTGACTGTACTCCAGTCAATAGTCAATAGTCCTACCATACCCAACACAATACTGTAAATATCTCATCAGGGAGGATACAGCACTGAAGTTGCTGGAGATTACCGGTAACAGAAAGTAACGTTGTACTGTACAAACAATACAGCTGTAGTACTTCGAAGGACTAGTACTGGTAGTAGTACTAGTAGCTTATTATGAATGCGTACAGATACCGGCTTCCCCGGATTACAGTATTTCAGCAAGGATTTATCCGTCCCTCCCCTGGGGAATCCGGATAACAAGGGCTGCGTACGAAGACGAGGACCGAACTTCGAAGAAGATCGGTCGAAGCACGAGGTATGAAGCGTTGAGCGAAGTAAAAACCGAAGCTTACACACTGCCCCTGGTCGAGCAGGCGCGTTACAATTGGCGAAGCGGTTCCACAATATGTGGTTCTAGTACTGTATCGGCCCTCGCGGAGGAATATCTTAAACAAATGATAATCCAAAACTCAACCATGAACAGATAACACCCCCCAAAATATCACCCCAACGCACAGGAAAATGCGAACAAGCCAATGATATTGGCAATCACCCAAATATCTCGCAATTGCCTCACGCAATGAAAGCGATGCATGTAATAACCAAAAATACTACTAGTACTACTCTGTGCTTCAATATAATGTACATTTGTCTCAGATGGGTGTGTTTTAATATAATGTACATTTGGTTTGACCAATGAGGGTCACGAAACAAATATTTTCAGCCAATCAAAGCAAAACCTGGTGTTTCATCGAAATACATCGATATTATTGGTGGATACCTACCAATCAAAAGTTGTAGATGACATACTGCATCCATTTAATTGGCGGAAAAAATCTGCTGATCAGATTAGGGTGGGTGTGATTATTTAAGTGGTTGTTATTCTGTCATTTATGATCGAATCGCTTTATTAAAATAACAGGAGGATCAGAACAAACGCTTTCGGCAGCCAATCGAAATTCACAATCTGGACCAGAGGTCGCGTGATAGGCCAAATTTCCTCAAATGTACACTATAAAATAGCACAGAATAGTACTTCACACTTTCACCACTATTCGTTGGTTTTCTGCCATTCATGCTTTCCTCAGTCTTAGCAGCTACCGTCTTTGCTCACGCTCGTCGTCGCCAACGAAGAATGGCCATGATACGCATACGCGGCGCACTGCGCGAGCGAAATGCCCCTGAGTCTGTGGCACTCCAACTTGATCAGAGAGACACAACATGGTATACCATGTATCGTTCTTGTCACATTCCGTCCTTTCTCACCACAGTGTCATAAACTCCCGATGCTTTTGACAACCTGCTGCATGTGTTTGCCACGGAGTATACGACTTGCCTCGACCCGACTTCTTTGCCATGGCGAACGAAAATTTGTGGCAACACCATTCATCGACATCTTGAAGAACTACATGAATCAATATTTGAAGTATAAGATAACAAAGTGCGGATGCGAGTTGGAAAATCCGTGTTCGCAAACTTGCGAGCATACTTTTATTTCAACAATGTCGCAGATCCAACAGGAAGAAAATTTGATTTTGTGAGATATTTGGCAGTCACCCAAGAGTTACACGGATGCGGTGTTTTGACCGCCATGCACCCAAATCAATGTGCAACCGCGTGGTGGTTGCTGCTATCTTGCCACCTCTGACATTTACGTTTTGCAACTCGTTCCTCTCATTCTCGAATTTGACTCCATGCTGAAAACCGCTGTCGTCTTGTTTGTCGTGGCCGTGACCGCTGCCACCCAGGATAAAATAACGCCCCGCGTGGTTGAATGGCTGCAACAATCGTCCACCGCTAATGTGGCTGTGTCCCTTCACCTCGCTTCCCACGTGAGCGGGCACACTAGCTTGTACAACCATGTCAAATGCAACACCCTCGACGCTGTTGGGGGGGCGTTTCAGTGCAATGGCTTGACCAAGAATGAAATCTGCAGCATCGCAGCCTTGCCCGAGGTCCGACAGATCGTTTTGGTCCTTCGTGTCGATTCCGACTACACCCCCAAGCCTGCTGACGCCCTTACGACGACTGCTGCAACCATAAATCTTTGCACTCCCAACATCATCCCCGAGCCTACCGTCACCGCGGTTGCCCCAACCACCACGGCCACCCACGATAAAATAACGCCCCACTTGGCTCAATGGCTACAACTATCGTCCACCGCTAGTGTGGCTGTGTCCCTTTCCTTCGATCCCCACGTGCACGCTAGCTTCAAGAACAATGCCAAATGCTTCAGCATCGACAATCTTGGTTCGTTTCAGTGCAATCGCTTGAACAAGAATGAAATCTGCAGCATCGCAGCCTTGCCCGAGGTCCGACAGATCGTTTTGGTCCTTCGTGTCGATTCCGACTACACCCCCAAGCCTGCTGACGCCCTTACGACGACTGCTGCAACCATAAATCTTTGCACTCCCAACATCATCCCCAATCATACGACCGCTGCCGCTACGCCTAGCGCGTGTGACAAACCTGTGGAGGACGTGGATTACGAAGGCAACGACATCACGTCCACCCAACGCTCCAACAGCGACGAGTGCTGCGACGACTGTACCAAGACTCCTGGCTGTGTTGCGTACGTATGGACCGCTTGGAACGACGGCACATGCTTCTTGAAGTCGAAAGCTGACAAGTCTGTTCCTAAGGAGGGCACTAAGGCTGCCAAGGTCGTGTTTTAAACTTTGAATATACGACATTGATTGAAATGCTATCAAAATTCTCGGAGTATATACAAGATGTACTGAGTTTGAAGAACCATTCCTATTCCAGGTTTCTAGTAAGCTTATCAGTGTACTAGTAACGTAAAAGACCAATTTAAGATAACTTAACCAATTTAGGATAACTTTGTAATGCCCAATCACACCTCGTTATTTGTTCGAGTCAAAACCTCTATCATATAATGCTGGCCATTCCGTCACGTGAATGAAATGCAAAAACGGCGTAGCAGCCATTGGTAATAGGCATTCAAGATTGGGTTTGAAGTTCCCTAGTCGACACGGGCCACATTGGGTTGGATCTGAGGTTTTGTCGAGTGTTAAACTCGGTGGACATCCATCCACAACAGACATTTAACTCTATAAAACAGTACCCTTGTATAAATTATATGAAATCTGTTGTAACCGCTTAACCTAAACACAGAATTTCAATGCTCAGACACATACATACTTTAAGATAAAAAAGTTATCCTAAATTGGTTATCAAAATGCTTAGAAAGTGACAAATTTACCTGTGAAGTTCATCGCCTAAACTGATAGTTCGATTATGAAGTCAAAGAGGCGCGTCTTGTCTATTGGAATCACTATTCAAAACTCAAATATCGTAACGGACTCAAACGTTATGTCCATTCTACTCCGACGCCTCCAAAAAAGTTATCTTAAATTGATTTTTTACGTTACTATATTGGCATCCCCAATACGTATAATCTGAGTGTATTTTGACTATACGTATACTGTAATAATCACTATACAAATTGTACGTATTGCGATTGTATACTAAAGCTCACATCACATTACTACTCTGGTCCATGAACGACACAAGGCGCAACTAGCTAACAGTAAAGTCTTTGGTGCTCGCAAGTACGTGTGGCTGCTCTGTGTAGGCTAGAGAAGTCTTTAGAGCCTCGAGTACATCAGATTGAAGTGAGCTCAGCGGGTGATTTTCTCTAAAAAAATGACGTTGCACACTGTCACGCTTGTATCTCCAGCACCAAAACGAATTCAGAGAAACGTCGGCTAGCCAATCAAAGACGAGATCTCTGGCTTTCAAATGCACCAATCACATCCATTAAACTAAAAAAACACACGAATGGCTTCACACTGAAGCAAATAGGACTCTTTTCATGGACCAGAGTGGTACTATACAAAGTTCGATTACACTTGAAGTGACTATACCGGTCAATCACGAGGCCTAGGAACCGATGTATAATACGAAGTACTTAAGTAAGACTTACGGGACAGCATTTAATATTAATACCGTTCCTGGTGGATACTATGGGTAATATAATATAATTGTTGAATCAAAGTGTAAGATGACATTGGGATGACAAGGGATGAAATTGGATGAAGTTGTGGGATGAAACCTAAAGTAGTGACCAAGACTTACGTTGGCTCCGAGCGCCCGGGAGGCCGCCTGCGCAAGCGCGGCCGTACGAGAGCGCGGATCTAAGCTTCTCACTTCACCGAATGATCTATCTTTTCTTCTTGTCGGGCAGCGGACGCATGATACAGTACTATCACGGATACTTGAAGTACTACAGTAGTTAGACATGCCATGTCGATCATTGTTCCCGTGTACAACTGTGGTATTTGCAGTGTTTGTAACCGAAGTCACTACGCACTGGTACTGGTAACTGATTCACAAAAAGACAATGAAAAACGAGGCTTTAAGAGAGCAAATACTCTGACCCTGGAGAACGAACCTGAGCTGCCGTCCAGCAGCTCATAACGTAGAAGGGGACACGATCCTTGGGCTGCGGTTTGCTTGTCTGGTGGACACCAGCGCCACAGTGTGTACCACATCACTTTTTTTTGTACTCGGTGAGCACTGCAAGGAAACACCATCACAAGTGATACCCGCGGCAAATACACGAACGAGTGTAAATCAGACGTTACGGTCGGTGCCTTAAGCTCAAGCGACTAAATGAAAATTTCCCATTTAAAATTCCCGTGACACCAACTATACGTATACGCTGTACTGTAGCCGATATATGTTATCCGGAGCGCTTTGTATTGATTGCATGTGTATCGATGCAAATACTGTAAGGGCCTGTTCCAAGTAGATATTTTTAGCAAAATGAAAATTTGGTTCCAACTACAGGTTCCTACTTTTTTACCTGGTTTTGTGCGCAACTCACTATACCAAAAGTAAAAATAGAGGTCCTTGACGTCTTTTTCTAAATCGTGAAAAAAAGAGGTAAATCGATTTTGATTGGCTCATGCTATTTCTGAAAACTACTGTTTACCAGACGCACCCTTAAAAAGTAGTTTTACTTCAGTGTCAGAGGACTACGTATTAATAGTACTCCGGAGTACTATTACTGTAATACTGTGTAGTAGCCGACTTGAGATACTTCAAGAATATCAGAAATCAAGAATATCCGAAATTGAAGAATTACAGCCAATGAAATGCAAATGTCGCCAGTAAATTTGGAACATGCATATTTTGAAATGAGGAAGTACAAGCGTTTTACAGTGTACAACTAAGGTACATCTAAAAAGTCCTCAATCCACAGACCACATGTACTTGATTAAGGTAATAAATTGTTGTTCGAACTTGATTGGCTATAAATATAGATAAGAACAGGATGTCAGAATCCAATGGCTGCCCCAAGCAAGAAGCGTGTAGTATGTACTGCGAGGACAAGTTCGTCGCGGACACGAACAAGAAGTCACATTACACCAATGTGCACTTCACCAAGAACCCATCGATTGCCCCGTACCGTCCGAGCATGTTCGCGGATATGTGTGACGAAGACCTCGACGAGTACACACGGCGCACTGGCATAGTGCTCCACTCGTCTCCGCATTTTGAACGTCCCACACAATCTTGTGTTTTTGACTTGATGCGTGAGCATAATATCTCGAATGATGTTGCTATCATTCTCATGTTGGACTCCCTTGTCAAGAAGCGTGGTGGGGATGTCCGTCAGCTCTTTGTGGACCATGCTCTGCGTTGTGCCACGGAACAAGAAGCGATGGAAAGCCAAAATGAGGAAGTGACGCTGCCCGCTACAACGAAGTCATTGACGTCCAAACAAAAGGCAGCCAAGCGCAAAGTGGCTGCAGCGGCAAAGCGTAGCAGCAAGAAGTAGTCAATGCAATCACATTTTATAGTAACTGTTAACTTGCAAAAATTTCCGGCAAGTATTGGTAACTATGAACTATAGATTTATAGGACATGCTAGTGTAACCTATTGGTTGGTAGCATATCATACTGGCGCCTATTATTGACTAGTGTTTAATAGTCTATACTAGTGTATACTGCGATTTGTTAGTGATCACTATTAACACCTATAGCTAAATAGGTTTAACTAGTACTCATGGTAAACAATATTAATTGTATGTATTTACCTACTGTTGAGGTGGTTCATGCATGACTGTTAGCGACGAAGCTTGGTTAGTCCGTTGCCGTTTTCTCATGTTGTTCACTGCAAGGATCGATTTGCGGTACGCCTGGATCGGATGAAGCAACTTCTGCACTTTCGCCAGTTGACGTGGTGCGTGCTGGATATCGCTTGCATGCTGGATGAGCCACGATGACAGTTCTTGTATTGTTTGGGCGACGTGCGCGGATGCCAACAGCTGCGAGTCGTCCAGAATCGAGACAGTGTCGTGGTTAAGTTCGGGTCGTGCACTAAGTGCGTTTACTTCTTTGTCGATGGATTTTTTCGTGCACTCTTGCCGCAGCATTTCGTCCTTCGTCGTAGGAAACACCCACATAGGCGGCGTTAGCTGCCGCACCTTGTAACGCGGCGGCACCTGATGGACGCCTCGTTAACTCCTGGTGTGTGGAATGTTTAGTTGCTACCTTGGTGTTGTGTGCTAGAATGTATCTGTGTACGAGATGCTTGCACAGGAGAAATTCTCCGTAGGCGTACGAAGGACAGGTACAAGTCCAACGCAGCACCGACGTGTCGTACACGTCATTCAAATCGCCTTCGTCGGATTTCGTTGCGAAAACTTTCCACTGTGCGTTCATCCTGGATTCCCAAGACGGCAGTGCTACAAATAACCCATGAGTGTGGGCAATGCTCTTATCACTATATTCCACTAGCCATGCGTAGAGGACGCTAGTATGGCCTAGCCACAAATAAGACCCACTACGTACAACTAATGGGAACCATGGCAAAATAGTGCATATCAAGATGGTATGGGTGCATAGTAATACTGTACCATACGAAATACGTCCATCTGTTGCACGAATGAACTTGTCGATGTACCATTCTTGTATGTTTGTCACGATGATAAAGCAAAGAAGGTCGAGTCGTGGTCGTTGAAAGTCCTGAACATAGGTGTCAAGATGATCAACAGTAAAAAAAAATACCTCCATACCTTTAAGAATCGATACTTCAGACAGTTAAAGTGCGCCTCGGCCATCATACTGGTTCGAAGGGTCGCCAATGCAGTTGGACACTGAGACCTCGCCCATCGCTTGAATTCATTCTCTGAGTACCAGTTGTTGAACAGGTACACAAATAGATATGATGCGCTGCATTCCTTGCAAAAGTTGTAGATTTCTTCCACAGCGCGGATGTAGAACACGCAAGATTTGTCGTGGGGGGGCATAGCATCGTCCTAGTTATCACTGTGAGTACATAGCTATCACTGTGAGTACATAGCTATCACTGCGAGTACATAGCTGGGCCTAGGCAATCCAAGTAATTGCTAGCGATGTCCTAGTAATCGCTAGTAAACAGTAGTGTATATGTTAGTACGCACATGCATCGACATAAATGGGTGAGCCTTGTAATGCGACTTCATTAGTGATAGCAACGGCCCCAGCACCGCTTTGTCACAGAAGCTTTCCTCCAACACGTGTGCTCCATGCACCCACACTGCTGGAAACGCAGGCGTGTACCCTTCAACATGGAGCAAGGTATTCGTCGGGGCGAACCTTAATCCAAGTCATTTGTATCAATTAGCTTACACACGTAGGTGTAGTACCGCACTTACCTGCGGATATCTGGAAATACATTTCCTTGTATGAAGCGTGCTCGAATTGCTCGATCCATGTGCCACAAGTACAAAGACAATTTCACGCCAGTCCAAACGGCCGTTGCTGCTGCAATTTGAGCGCTATCCTTGTCCATATGGACAAAGGCTGGATGCAACCCAAAGTTATCGCGTAGTAATGCAAGCCATCGCTGCAAGTAAGCGGCCTTGACTTCCGCTGTGTCTACGTTAAACATTATAAACATGCATCCACAAAATATATGTAGTTCACCTAGTAACCACTATGTACAGCTAGCAGCTAAGTAATAACACATACAACCACGTAGTGACACCTACAAATCCATAGTAGGCGCTAGTGTTACACAGTGAAAGCAATAATATACTAGTGTT